CACAGAGTGGACTGGAGACACCACAGCAAGGCTCTGTGACCTGGTGAGGACTCGATTGTTCTTGTGCACATCAAGACCAATAAACCACACTTTTGCTATCCTGAGTCAAGGACCTGTCATGTTTTGACAAATGCTGTACTCTAGCGCACCTTTGCTCATTATAATACCAAAACACACCTCCATCCCAAAAGCTACACACCTCCAAGGCACAACCACCCCTCACTGAGCATGTAATCTGTATTTCTCAGAGCCTATACCTTTAAATGGAGACAGGAAAACTTTTCACCAATCATGCTTTTCAAGCTCCACCTAAAAATAGAAAATAATATAAATTGGCCTAAGAGAGAGAGGATGTCAGGGAAGATAGTATCCTGAGGACCTCCTGACTCTTGGAATCAGTCAACAGGCTGAGCTTCTCTTCCTCCTTCATTGGGATGCCTTTGGGTGAGATCTGAACGCTTGGTTATACCATGCGTCTCCACAGAAACTTAGAAATCTCTTTAGAGTCTTTGTGCCTTTTACCATGTTAATTTCCAGGCTGCACACCTGTGTATTTCATGCATGCTAGCTTGCTTTTGCAGACAGTAAGTTATCACTGGCAATCCAAAGAACTTGTGTACCTGTTGCTGTAATAAATTGCACTTAACTGCATTGTTCCTAGCTGTGATAGTTCTCATTGAACACGGCTAGAATAAGGGCAGTTACATGTTATTGGTGAATCCATGACTGTGGTAGTTCAGTGCTCTGAATTCAACTAAACCCATATTGGTTAATGCATTATTGGTGAATCTGATTGTGATAGGTCAGTACCTTAATCTGACCAGACCCATAATAGTTAATTAGCCACACCCCTTAACACAACACCCCTACTAGATGAGACTGATCCTGCAAAATATCTCAAATCTAACATTCCTAAAAGTGCTCAGCACCTTGCCAAATACATGTTTTTAATATGTATGAAATGTAACTTGCACTGCTGTAACTTCTTATTGTTTTTGTTTTTTTTTTTTTTTAATTAAAATCAGCACAGCATTACTACCCAGAGATCCACTTAACATCCCTTCCACAGTGCATGGTTTTCATTAATGGAAATGAATTTTCAGAAACTGAAAGGCTCTGTTAGTTATAGTGTGTTTCTGGAAGACCTTTCCTCAGACACATTGCTCAGTGGGAGCAACAGCCTTTTACCATTATTTTGAAAGAGTGCACAGTGCATTTAAGACTTACTTTGATGCAAAAACAGTTCCTAAAGAACCTGGAAGAACTGGAAAAATAGTGATATTAAGCTGGAATCCCAGCTTCCATTCAGTAGTAAGGTGCCCACATGTTATAGCCTTATCTATTAGGCTTTCACTGCTTAGGACACTTGCAAAACCCTTCATGGCCAAATCGGCACAAAGCAGCATGCAGTCAGCTTCCAGACTGGGGCAAGAGACAGTCTGGGGCAGTTTCCCTGGGGGCAGGCAAACCAAGTCACTAAGAACTGACTTCAGCTTGAGTTGTACCACCAAATGGCATCAAAGTCCACTGAGAAATTCAGCCCTGACTATAGGTATCAGTTGTGGTGCCTGCAACGCCCCAGCTACTCACAGTCTTACCAGTACCTCAATGATCACACACCATGAGAATGTCCCTCACAGCCTACAAAGCAGAGCAGAGCAGATGGTCCACAGCAAGCTACCACCATGGGCTCAGGAAGTCTGTTTTGGGATCTCATGTGTCAGTCACTGCCGTGCTGATACAGTTCCCGAAGCAAATACCACAAACAGGAGTGTCAGAACTCTCCTACCAGGCCCTGAAGATGCCTTCGGGCAGGACATATACTTCCTTACCTACACGCATGAGCAGCTTGCTCTTACAGATGCTTCTCAAGGGTGTCATTCAGGTGAGCACAATTTGCCCTTCAAACAACAAAGCAGATTCCCCATGAAAAGATTTGTTGGACAGGGCCCAAACTATTCTAGCCCTTAGCAGGGTAGAGGAGAAAATACTTGTATTATTTTTCCAATAAACATACCTACCTCCCTTTGAGAGGCATCAATTTCTCTGCACTCTTCTAGTCTTCTCAGAACAGCGTAGGCATCAGAAAGGGCCTCAGAGAAAACACTTTCATATCGAAGAAAGAAATCCAGTTTACAGCTTTTGCTTTCTGCTGCTGTGTGAGAGAAACAAGATGAGTTATTTGCTAATTGAAGGGATTCTCAAAAAGCATGATGTGATTGAAAAGCATCAATTTGTAACCAACACATTGGCTGCAATATGAAAACTGTGACTCACAAATCTGTTCTAAAGATATCATGCAGCCCGGAGGAAAAGAATGCAAAGATAGCTTCCTGAATGAAAAGATAGCTTCCTGACGCAGCTGGTTAGTGAGCCTACCAGGGGTGGCGCCCCACTAGACCTTCTCTTCACAAACAGAGAAGGACTGGTGGAGGACGTGATTGTCGGGAGCTGTCTTGGGCAGAGTGACCACGAAATGGTGGAGTTCTCTATTGTTGGTGAGGCCAGGAAGGGGACCAGTAAAACCGCTGTATTGGACTTCTGGAGGGCTGACTTTGTGCTCCTGAGGACACTGGTTGGGAGAGTCCCTTAGGAGGCGGTTAAAAAGGGCAGAGGGGTCCAGGAAGGCTGGGCACTCTTCAAAAGGGAAATCTTAATGGCGCAGGAGCGGTCTGTCCCCACGTGTCCAAAGACGAGCTGGCGGGGAAGAAGACCAGCCTGGCTCAACAGAGAATTGTGGCTTGAGCTTAGGAGAAAAAAGAGGGTTTATAATCTTTGGAAAAGTGGACAGGCCACTAGGGAGGACTATAAGGATGTTGCAAGGCTGTACAGGGACAAAATTAGAAAGGTCAAAGCTCATCTGGAGCTCAGTCTGGCTACTGCCGTTAAAGATAACAGAAAATGTTTTTATAAATACATCAACACAAAAAGGAGGACTAAGGAGAATCTCCATCCTTTACTGGATGCGGGGGGAAACTTAGTTATAAGAGATGAGGAAAAGGTGGAGGTTCTCAATGCCTTCTTCGCCTCAGTCTTTAGCGGCAATACCGGTTGTTCTCTGGATACCCAGTACCCTGAGCTGGTGGAAGGGGATGGGGAGCAGGATGTGGCCCTCACTATCCACGAAGAACTGGTTGGTGACCTGCTACGGCACTTGGATGTGCACAAGTCGATGGGGCCGGATGGGATCCACCCAAGGGTACTGAGAGAACTGGCAGAGGAGCTGGCCAAGCCGCTTACCATCATTTATCAACAGTCCTGGCTATCGGGGGAGCTAAAGGTCCAGGTAAAGAAAAAACAAAGGATGCTACTAGCAAAAGGAAGCAAAAATCACGTTTTCAGCTTACAGCCCCTAGTAGTTTATTACACTGCAGTTTAGTGGTTACAGCAAGAAGAGGCTCCACTCTTAACTGAGAAAATTTCAGCAAAATTCATCAACTTACCCAACTAAAGCTGCAGAGTCCAGACACTGTTCAAACAAATATTTCAGAAAGAGCTTAAGTGTGAAAATTAACTGCCAGGAGTTCCAAAAAGGAGAAAAACTCCCAGACATGACTCCTACCACAGAGCTCTAAGATGTGAGTGCTCTTCAGATCAAGCACTGCAGTGCCACACACTTGCACCCAAGAACTAAAGGAACCAATGCAGGAAGACCTGCTCGGACTATTAAATGCAGAGGAGAATGTGAAGTGTCGGTTTTGACCTACAAAGCACTAAGCAGTTTGGGAGCAGTTAAGTTTCTCCCCACATCAATGCTAAGATCAGCAGAAGCATCTGAGCAGTGAAGATAGATGACTGCTTGCAGCCTGGGTTTGTCAGCACCTCCTTTCTTAGCACACCACAGTCCTAATACATTGACTTACAAGGGACATGATGTGGTCCACATCTTCCCCTCAGGCTTTAATTTCTAGGAGGACAAGTAGACAGGGAAGACTGGGATCACAGAATCATAGACTATCCAGAGTCACAACTCAGAATCATCCCACAAAGATCATTGAGTCTAACTCTTGGTTCTGCACAGGACCGCACAAAAAAATCAAACTCTATGTCTAGGACCATTGTCCAAACACTTCTAGAACTCCATCAGGCTCAGTGCTGTGACCACTGCCCTGGGGAGCCTATTCCAGTGCCCAAACACCTTCTCAGTGAAGAACCTTTTCCTAACACCAAGCCTGAACCTCCCCTGTCACTGCTCCATGCCATTCCCTCAGGTCCTGTCACTGTCCACAGAGAGCAGAGTTCAGCGCCTGCCCCTCCACTGCCCTCATGAGGGAGCTGCAGGCCACCATGAGGCCTCCCCTTGGCCTGAACAAACCCAGGGACCTCAGCCACTCCTCAAACATCTCCCAGTGTAGACCCTTCACCATCTCTGTAGCCTCCTGTGGACACTCTTTAATAGTTTATTGTACTTTTTATACTGTGGTGCCCAAAACCATACACAGTACTGGTGTGTCCCACACCAGCGCAGAGCAGGACAGTCACTTCTCTCAACCAGACAGCAGGCATCTGACCTCTCGGCTGCTACAAAATGATTAATTCTTGGGCAGAGAGAGTCATTGCTGACCGAGTCTCCCAAAAGGCAAATGTTTAAAACGTTGGGAGGCCCCCAAAATAGGTTATCCCCATATTATATCCTGCTTCTTTTTGAGCTGTAAGGTTTCTGCTATCCAGATTCAACAGATCAAAAAGCTTTACATGGCACTAGGTTCACCAAAAGTGAATTGAAATTTAGGACTAAACACTTCAGCAATTAGATGTTACAAAGATTGGTGACCACCCTTCCCTCATAGATATGAGGCTGTCATGATACTCTCAATCCTTTACAAAGACACTATCAGCAGCACTGCAAGAATGTTATTGCCACCTCAGCTTTTGCAAAAGGATCCTGTATGCAGCTTGCTGCCCTAATTAGTGGCTGTTACAACGAGCTGACCAACACACCTGCTGATCTTAATAAAATAATGGCCAAACCTACTTTCTGCATTGATTAGTAAGATATCTTACTTACCCGGCCAGAGAGATACCGTGATCAGGCAGGTGGCTTTCCCAGGAAAAGGCTCATCCCCTGCACTCCGGGTGGGCTGTCCCTGAGACTCCTCCAAATGTGGGAAACCCAAATGCATGATTTGTGGTAGTGTGGGACTCCATTTGCACTCTTTTTATCAGAGGGCAGGAGCACTTCTCCTATGAAGAAAGGCTGAGAGAGCTGGGGCTGTTCAGCCTAGAGAAGGGAAGGGTCAGTCAGAAGTGATCTTATTGCAGCTTTTCAGTACTTAAAGAGAGCTTATAAAAAGGATAGAGAACAACTCAGTCAGATAATGACAGGACAAGGGGAAATGGTTTTAAACTAAGAGGGGAGATTTAGATCATAGGTTAGGAGGAAATTCTTCACTCAGAGGGTGGTGAGGCACTGGAACAGGTTGCCCAGAGAAACTGTGGATGCCCCATCCCTGGAGGTGATCAGGACCAGGTTGGACAAGGCTCTGGGCAACCTGATCCACTGGTGGCATCCCTGCCTAGGGCAGGGGAGTGGAACTGGTTGATCTTTAAGGTTCCTTCCAACCTAGGCCATTCTGTGATTGTAAGATTCAATGATCTCAGTGACCAACATGAGGATGTATTCCACATCTGTTAATTCTTGTTTGACATACACTTGGAACAGGCTTTTTTCACTTAAAAAAAAAAAAAAAGAAAGAAAGAAAAGATTGCTGCAATGTCGAGATATTAAGCAATACCATAACACCACTTTTTAAACGTACAAACCCACAGCCTTGTGCTCCCTCTGCTGACACACTTGGCTACCAACTCAGCTCAGCACACACTATAATGCAACACACACACACAACAAAGCCTACGACATCCAATGCAAAAGTACAGAAGATGATGACCTTAGAAGAAGGGTTATTAGGAAGCCAGAAAATTATATACCGCAATTCAATTTTCTTACCTCTCACACCAAAAGTAATACTGTCTTTGAAGAGTTGAAAGAGGTTGAGAGGTCATTACCATTCTCTGGGGCGCTCCAAAGGGCCAGAGCAGGCAGAATTCCCAGAAGATAATGTAAAATCCTGTATAAGGAACTCACGAGCACATCAATTTGTTTTTCGATCTATTTAATTTTAGTTCAGAGCATTAGTGCAGACAGGTAAGAGGAAAACAAGCAACACTTTAACTAAATTCAGTGCTCCCTGGTCTCTAAAGGCAGCAGAATATGCATCACAAAAACAAGCAACATTTTGGCTATCTGCGCTGATAATTTAAATGGAAATATGATACACTGAAAAACAAATAGATGTGCTACAGTTCTTAACAGCAAGTTTTCCGTTACCCTTCAAAGCAAGGGTTGTTGCCATTCATTCCTGGAATAGGGCTACTCCAATGAGATAAGGAAATCACGAAGGGGAAGAGTATCACAAACCCAAAGCAATGGTCCAAGTTCTGACCAGAAGGCAGCAGAATTCTGCTGCCTTACCTTATCTTTGGGTCAATATATCAGGTTGCCATCCTTTCCACCAGAGGAAATTACTCAAGACTCACCTGTAAGCCTGTCTCTCTCTGGGGAGAAGGGTTTTATCAACCAGGACCCACCACAGCACATTTCATTTCCATAACACATCTAACCCAGCCTGTGAACAGGCTGATTCTGACTCTGCAGCCTTGCTTCTCCCTTCCACCCATCTCCTCTGCAACAGTTCTCCTAAACTGGTGATCGCAAGAGAAACTGGAACAGACCACTGATTTCTTGACACAACGCAAACTTACTTATTTGTCCCTCAATGAGTTGGTATCATTTCAATGAACAGACTTAATTAGTGGTGATACAGCTCCAATGAAAAGGATATGAATCTGCTGTTACAAAAGCCAACAAAGATAATTTCCTTTCTCGCCTGCCTTAGAAGTCTTTTGGGGAATGTTCACAACTTCTGTTCAAGAAGGGAACACAACTCCAATAGCCAATAAGTGCATATGATGAGAAACAGCTTTGCAGGACATCAGTAGCATTCAGCTCACAAGTAGAGCTGAAATTCTGGTGGAAACATCTTTGCTTCTAAGTATTTGTAATGAAAGACAAGAGCCCTGACATATTTGTCATGGCAGCAATGTAATCAATGTTTTGCCTTCAACAGAATGGACATGCAATTTTAAGTGACAGGGAAAGTGATCATTCAAATTTGGTGACACACTGAACAGCTACGTTAATCTTGATTTAATGCAATACTCCTGCATAGGATCCATCACCCAGGCAGGACTACAGCAGCAAAGTAAAGGGCAGCCCGTAGGCTCCCTTCAGCCTGCTTGGGTTGGCTACAAAGGTCACACAGCCTCAGAGGGGCCTTCGTGAAGCAGAGCACAGACATTCCTTTGCCCCCGTCCCCCACGAGCAAGGGCCTGGGACCAAACTGCCCCATACAGGGCAGACCCCAGCCTCAGCAGGGCCCCCCACACTGAGGTGTGGGAGACGGGACAGTGAGGCCGGGCCGGCCGGGAGCGCTGCAGATGGCAACTCCCCCCGCCCCACTTAGCAGGGCAGTGTCCCCTCAACCCCGGCTCCCCCGCGGAGGTGGGCTGCCCCTCCCTCCGTGGTGGTGGGCCGCCATCTTGAGGCAGCAGCGGGCCGACTCCCGCGGCATGTGACGGAGGATTGGCGGGGTGGGAAGAGAGGTGGCTGTGGGCCACCTGCCTTCCACATTGACGGGGGGGAGGCCTGGGTCCCTGTGGGCCTCACAGAGGAAAGGTCAATGAGTGCTCTGCAGGCAGGCCCTGCAGGGAGAGGGGGGCACAGGACCGTATAGTCCTGGCAGTGCGTCCAGGTCCTCGTGCTCTGCCCTCAGCCCAGTTGCCAACCCTTCACTTCACAGCACACGGCTGGTGTGGTTTATGCCTGCTCTGTCCCAGTGACCGTCTCAGCTCCCCTAGTCCTGCACCTCTCCTGAGGGCAGTGCCACCAGGCAGGATCCAGCACCGCAGCAGGAAACTCACCTGGCTCAGCAGATCTGCAGAGGCTGAGCCAGAGGGGTCGCATACGGTCCCAGCTGTGACTCCACAGGTGTCAGGCTGACCCAAGGAAACACAAGGGACAAAGTCACTGAAAACTCAGTGCTTCTCAAGGCCATGCATGTCCTCAGTGCACATGTGCTGTACACTGGCCTACATACAGCAGGATGTGGGGTGAGAACACACTGTCTTCACTGAGCGTGTGGGCTCTCAACCTACTCTTGGGTCAGAGGAGATGAGACCTCAATTTGTATTTGTGTGGAGCTGCACTGGCATACCAGGGTTGCCCTTTGTTCCTCTCAAAGAGTCTGGCCTTGGTTTACGTTCCCTGTCCATCAGTAACTTGACCCAGCTCATAGCTCAAACAGGGCCTCAGGGTGCACTTAGCTTGAGCAAGTTCTGAGAGCTTCCAGATGTCCCCAGTAAGACAGGATGGAGGAGAGGACTGGGTTACCTGCCAGTGTTGTACTGTGGGGCCGTGCCTAAGCTGAGCAGCCTGTGAGAGTCACTCAAATATGCAGTTGCTGAGCCTGGTGCACTGAGAAGCAGGTGTCTGCTCTTCCAAGTGGCCTTCGTCCTGACAGGTGGGAGCTGGCTTTGGAGGTGTTATATATGGAGTGGTAATTCGTGTCGAGAAAATGGTTGATATTAATAAAGAAGGGGGAGATTTGGTAATGTGGCCATGGGGGTTGGAAAGCCCCATGGTTGAGATAACATTAGACTCTTAACAATGAGGCCATCAGGAATATAAAATAGTTTAGAGGGAACAAAGAAGGGTGATTCAGGACACTCCATGCAGTCTCTGGTTTCTCGTTCTCCAGATGGTTCTCTTGTTCTCCAGCCATTAAGGCATGGATGTTTCTGGGTGTTTGCTGTTGTTACATTCAATGTTGTTTGACCAATGAAAAGTTGTTTTGAAAAGAACTGCTGTGGAGAGAAGGGTATAAGAGGGGAGCCTGCCCTCAAGAAAGAAGAAGAAAAAAGAAGAAAAGAGAAAAAAGAAAAAGGCAGCACGATGAAGTTACATAAATAAAGAAGCAGGAAAGAAGAAGTGAAGAGGAACAGGCTGGCAGAATGGAGACCAGGACGGGAACAGGCACTTTGATTGCCTCATGAAGATAGGTTCGGACAAACTCAGCAGACTGCTCAGAGAAGCTCGTACAGAAAGTCGCTGGAAACAGGCACACTGGAGCTGGAGAGAAGCTCGAGCTGAGAGAAGTGGACCTGTGCACACAACTGCCTCTCGCTGGTAAGCAGTTGCGCATTATGGGGAATCATACGTCCTTAGGAACAAAGACTGTCCTGGTAACCTTACAGCTTATTCTCCTTATTACCAATTGGACAGTTTATGAGCCTGAAATATGGGACCAAACTTAGGTCAAGGTGTGGGACTCTGCAACTAAAAACGACAAGGTTGCAGTGGGATTGCTCGGCATCTGGCGAGCAGTCTCTGAGGCCTTAAAGAGCCATGTGGGACCACAGTCAGAAACGTGTGGTTTGCCAGACAGTGAGGGAGCTGCGGGCTCCTTTACTGATCCCACTGCTACGCCATGGGCCCCTCTGCTGCTACAGCCATCCAATGCCTTTGCTGTTACGCCCCCTGTTGACCTGAATGTGCCTTTTGACCCAGGCCTCATTGGCCTTGAAAAGGAGATGGATATGCTTTTCTTCGATCCGGGAAGAACAGGATACATAAGGCCTGAAGACTGAGTTGCTTGACAACTTAAAGTGAGACATATTGTTCAAAAGGAATGGAAAATGGAGACTGTTAAGTCATGGAACTGAAAGGATTGTTTGTTACCTTTCCTGATTGTACATATGTATAGGCATACTCAGGTTTAGTATGTAAAGCAATGTTCTGTATATTTAGAATGTTTGATGTTTGTGTGTGCATGTTGGTGGAGCGTAGACTCCCCACACACACAGCACTGTTTACTTGCCTTTTTATACCTTTTAGAAATATTTGTTTTATAAATAGTACAAAATTCAGATTGAGTTGAGACCTCATTTATAACACAGGTGACTCCTTGCCACAGCCTCCCTGTGTGAGGGCAGTATCGTTTGCAATAATTAAGTATAACCTGCTATAGGTCTGCCCTGAACTGGTTCTTACTTCAACTAAAGCAAAGCCTTCAGGAAAGAAATGGGACCCCACCAGAGCAGTGC